AACTTCTAGGGGGCAGAAGCCTAAAAGAGGAGACGTGTTTAGTTTTTCCTCCGTGAGACAACAAAGACCCCAGACTTGATGCCACTCTAGAGGCTTCCGTGTAGAACTAGTTAATCCAGTCAAATTGAGTTAATGGCTATAGAGAGGTTGATGGAATGGGCAATTTCCTATTCAATAATGACCTATCAATATGGAGCAAAGAGCTACTTTGATCAAGTCAATCTTAGCAACAGTTCAGGGTTCCATTGATTTCTCTGCAATTAGTCGGGACAGTGTTAAAAAGTAAAGGAAAATACAAAACCTACTGGAAATACATCTCCTCTGAGAGCCAGACAACAGGACCTGGGCCAGAGCATCTAGGAGCGTTGGCATCTGGCTGCTGACAAGTCACAGGATCCCCAGTGATTTAGGTCTCTGGACAGTTGTAGTTAAAGTTGAGTTATGAATCCATAGTGGGAAGAATTGGAAGGCCGAAAATGCCAGTCACATATAATGGAAAGGGCTTTCCAGGTGGCGCTAGTGGTAAAGAACCTGCCTACCGATGCAGGAGACGTAAGAGACCTGGGTTCGATCCCTGGGTTGGGAAGATTTCCTGGAGGACATGGCATGGCCACTCACTCCAGTATTCTTGCCTGGAGTACCCCATGGGCAGAGGAGCCTGGTGGACTGCAGTCCAGAGAGTCACAAAAAGTCGGACGTGACTAAAGCAACACCACACTCATGCACACATATAATTGCAGCTGCCTTCTCTACATTAATGACTATGTGTACAGGTTTTCTCTTACATCCAATAATGAGGCTTTGATCATATATCCAATTCTTATCACAAATTTCAGTCTCTGATGACCATTTTTTGGAGGTTGAGGGCGTTCTTTGGTTCCTTGCTGATGGACTTGAATTTGTCTCCCCCCTGCCCCTTCTTTGAATCAAAATACTTCATATCTTACCTCCAAGTTTCAAAACACTGGCTAATACTCATACTGGATTTGTTTAGAGCTGGGCTTCACCTGAAATCATAAATCAGATGACAGAAGTGAAGATTTTCACATAATTCCCTGAGAGATTTATCTTCACATAAAAATGTGAAAAGTGAGGTGAGAAAAATAAATGACAACTAAAAGCATCCCAAGTATAAAAGTCAAATTTCTCTTGCGTCCCTTGTAACCAGTCTTTTATTTTCATTCAGGAGTGTTGATGGCCATCAGAGTTCACCCTTTTGTCTTTGGGGTTAAAGTAATTCCTCAAATAGAAAATCTCTGCCAGAGATTCTTGTTTCTAGAAGTGTCCACAGTGAGTAATGCGTTTAAGACATACCCATCATGTATCCAGGAAGAGGTATTTAGGAGGCAGGAAGGCTTTCAGATTCCCATCCTTCACAATTATAAAATTATAAATTCAAATTCAGAGCCTTCAAATGAAAATGCACAGTCTTGACTCCTTTCCCCAACTATTTAAATGTGTTCTTTAAATCATTCAAGTAGTATATGGTTTTTAAAGGTTTATTTTGAAAAACCACCATCCCTGGATTCCTGCACCTTCCCCAGTAGAATCCCACATCCAAAGGGCAACCCTTTTGACCTTGTCTTGACCCCTTGACCCTTTGACCCCTGAATCGCTAAATGTGCTTGGGCTGCTTTTGCTCCTTTTCTAGCTTTAGAGACTGCTTTTAAGATGACAGAAGTCATGTCAACCTTATAACTTTCATGGACAACTTCACATGAAAAGTAAAGTTCCACACAGATGCACATATTCTCAGCTCCTCTGAAAAAGTTTTAGTCCTGGCTGAAAGAAATAACAAATTAGGACATGAATTTCAGAGGAATTTGTGCTGATGGAAAGCACAGTGGTCAGGGCCCCATTCTGAATTGCTGGGCCTGTCATTTCCATGGACTTCCCATCCTGCTCTCATTAATTCTACACCCGCTGTTCACCTTCTCAGTCTGTTTTTATCCTAATCTTTGCTTCCATCTGTGTCTTGCAATTACACCGCTGTTGTTTAGTCACACAGCCGCATCCATGGACTGCACAGACTTCCCTGTCCTCCAGGCATCTCATCCCTCTGACGCCCTCTTCTCCTTCTGCCCTCAATCTTTCCCAGCATCAGGAACTTTTCTACTGAGTTGGCTGTTTGCATCAGATGACCAAAAGACTAGAATTTCAGCCTCAGCATCAGTCCTTCCAATGAGTATTCCGAGTTGAGTTCCCTTAAGATTGACTGGTTGGATCTCCTTTCTGTCCAAGGGACTCTCAGGAGTCTTCTCCAGCACACAGTTCTAAGGCATCAATTATTTGGTGCTCTGCCTTCTTTATGGTCCAGCTCTGACAACCGTCCGTGACCCCTGGAAAGACCATAACCTTGGCTATACCGACCTTTGTCGGCAGAGCAATATCTCTGCTTTTCAGCACACTGTCTAGGTTTGTCATAGCTTTCCTGCCCAGAAGCAATTGTCTTTTGATTTCATGGCTGCAGTCACCATCCGCAGTAATTTTAGAGCCAAGAAGAGGAAATCTGTCACTGCTTCCACCTTTTCCCCTTCTATTTGCCAGGAAGTAATGGGGCCAGATGCCATGATCTTAGTTTTTTGGTTTTTTTTTTTAATGTTTAGTTTTAAGCCAGCTCTTTCACTCTCCTGTTTCTCCCTCATCAAGAGGCTCTTTAGTTCCTCTTCACTTTCTGCCATTAGAATGGTATCATCCGCATATCTGAGGTTGTTGGTATTTCTCCCCATGGACTGTAGCCCGCCAGGCTCCTCTGTCTATGGAATTTTCCAGGCGTGAATACTGGAGTGGGTTTACATTCTTATGATGGCATAAATAGTATTCACAATTGAGCCATGGATTATTTCAGAATTACTTTTTTTTATTTTCCTGTACAACTTTGGTGCAGTTGGGGTTAAAAACTGTCCTGTGGGTTCGAGGCATAGTTTTCTAAATTCCTGTCTCAGACCTGGACTCTCGGGCAAGAGTATAAATCTTTTCTCAGTATTTTCAACCTCATCGTGTATTTGATCTGTTTATTCTTTTTGGAGATTGCCTTCTAGAGGCCTCCATTCTATTTATTCACTAATTCACTCATTCATAAAATTTTTGTGGATGCCTGCTAGGTACCAGGCTGTCTTCTAGGCACTGGATGTGCATGAAAGATAGATTTCTTCCTGGAATTTACATTGGAGTTAGAGGAGACAGAAATAAGCAATAAGCATAATAGAAAATGGACTTCCTGGTGGGTCAGTGGTAAAGAATCCACCTGCCAATACAGGAGATTCAGGTTCAGTCCTTGGGTTGGGAAGATCCCCTGGGGAAGGAAATGGCCACCCACTCCAGTATGCTTGCCTGGGAAATCCCATGGACAGAGGAACCTGGTGGGCTACAGTCCACGGGGTCGCAAAAGAGTTGAATGTAACTTACCAATTAAACAACAACAAATAATAAAAAATATTATTTCAAATGATGGTACATTGTATAGAAAAAAACATCAAGCTTGGGAGATGGATTGGGAGTGCAGAAAGAGGGGCATGATGAAATTATAAACAAAGGGGTTGAGAGAGGTGGACATCTGAGCATCCTTGAAGGCAGGAGTGGGTCCTGGGGAAGCACGTTCCAGGCAGAGGGAAGGGTTTGGCAACGGCTGTGATAGAGAATGTGCCTCGTGTGTTCGGGCAACGGCTCGGCGCTGACGGCTGCGGCAGAGTGGGCGGGGGAGAACTGTCTGAGATGACCGCTAGAGACACGGGGAAGCAGCGTCTCGCAGGGCCTGGGGGCCCGCGACGTGGGGAGCTTGAACTTTATTTATTTTTACTGGAGTATAGTTGCTTCACAGTGTCGCGACAGTTTCTGCTGTACCGTGAAATGAATCAGCTACACGTTCATACACACCCTCCCTCTGGGACCTCCCTCCCCCCTCTCCCCCACCATCGCACCCCTCCGGGTCATCACAGAGCCCCCGAGCCGAGCTCCCTGTGTCTGATAGCAGGTTCCCCCTGGCCGTCTACTTTACACGCAGTAGTGTATCACTCTCCCGATTCATTCCACCCTCCACTTCCCCGCACGGTGTCCACATGTCCGTTCTCTACATCTGAGTCTCTGCTCCCGCCCTGCAAACAGGTTCATCTGTACCATTTTTCTGGATTCCACGTATATGTGTGAATATATGATATTTGTTTTTCTTTTTCTGACTGACTTTACTCTATGTGACAGACTCTGGGTCCATCAATGTCACAACAGATGACCCTGATTCAGGGAACTTGAACTTGAAAAGGATCACACCATGCTAGCTGTTCTGTAAAAAAGAGCACAAGGAAGGATGCTGACGGACCAGTTAGGGGACCACAGTGATCTGGGCGATGGGATGGACCAGGGTGTTCACAGGAGAAATGGAAAATGGTCAGGCTCTGGATAGATTCTGAAGTGTCATAGGCAGATCTCCTAGTAAACTGAATGTGAAGAGGAAAGGAGAGAGAAAAAGAGATATCGAGGAGAATCCACTTCCTGCTCCCGTCTTCCTGCAGCGTGCTGGGTGAGGCGGTCATCCTGAGCACTCTCTCTGTTCCATCCCGGGGGTTCCTCTCCTCTGGGTTGGCTTCCCCATTTTCTGGGTAGAGTTCCTCCTCTGTGACTTTCTTCCTGAGAACAGGTGCATGGGAGGTACATTTGAGAGTTTTGTGGGTCTTCCAATTCTCATATGCATTCCATAATAAAGGCTGAGAATGGGATTCTAGAGCGGAAATCTCTTTGTCTTGATCTTTGAAGGCCTTGTTCCATGGTCTTCTGGTTCACAATGTCACATTTCAGAAAATACATTCTGATTCTTACTCCTTTCTAAGTGACCTTTTATTTCACTATTTTTTTTCAAGTGTTGGCCATTCTATTCTATCCTGTTCTTGGCTACACTGCAGCTTGTGGGATCTTAGTTCCCCGACCAAGGATTGAACCCTGGGCCACGGTAGTCAAAGTGCCAAATCTTAACCCCTGGACCACCAGGGAATTCCCATTTTCTTTTCTTTGAAAACCTTTGGAATTCTCTCTTTGTAGTCATTATTCTAAGTTTTCAGAGAGAGATATCTTTTAAAAAAAATCCGTATCGCTGACTCCTCAGTGGGTTCTGTCCACCTAAAGATGCCATGTGCTTTCGTTGTAGAGTCTCTCTCTGAGTTTTTGCTATTCTCTCTTTCTCAGACTCTTGTTCAGGTGGTGGCTCTCCTGACTGCTGCTGTCTGAACACCCTCAGGGAGTTTCCCACTCCAGATTCTCCAGAAGAAAACTGAACTTGCCCAACCAGCTCGAGTGGAGACAAGTCAAATGAGTCATGAGCTGCCACCCAGTTTCCTTCAGCTTCACTCCATTTGCTCAGCTCTGGGTCATGGGACAGAGGGGTACTCCTGAGAGGCATTTGGGGCCAGGCTTGTTTCATTCAGACAGAGCTACTTGGAAATATTCTTTGCTGTCAAATCTTTGGTCAAGTAATAGATTCTGGGCTAGAATTTTTTTTTTTTTTTGCCAAGTAAGTTGTAAAAATATTTTAAATATGATATACCTATACATTTCTCTTTAGATGAACATTCCAGATGGATCAAAGATTTAAGTGCAGAAAGCAAGAAAGAACAAGAGAGAAAAGCATCAGTATGCCAGAGGAAAACATGGGTGAATATTTTATAACCATGGTGTTGGAAAGGTCTTAATATGACTTGATAATGCTATCAGGGAGCATAAAGGAAAAGAATAATAAATTTAAATGTATAAACATTAGAAACATCTATGTTGAAAAAATTCATTAAAAATGTAGAAAATGACTATAGGAAATTTTGCATTTCTTGACAAGCAGTTATATCCTGAAGATATGAAGAATGCTCAATCAATAAGGAAGATTATATAGAGGAATTGATAAAGCAACGTAGCAGTTTCATCAAACAGAAAAATACAGAGACAGCACGAATGCGAAAAGACATTCAACTTCATAATAATAAGAGAAATGTAATGGAAAGCAAAACATGTTTTGTTGCTGAAGATTAAAATGTGTGAAGAAAAGGTCTTGTCAGAGAGGGAGACAGGCTCTGTGTTTAATGTTGGTGGGAATGTAAGTTGGTGTCTAATTTTTAGAAAAATAATTTATATAATCCTTCTCTATTCTGTCAAAATATGAAATGTACAGACCCTCTTAAATAACAGTTTTACTTCTAGGGATTTGAGGTAAGGAATAATAAATCAAGTATGAAAACACATGCACATAGATGATCAACTTGGTGGTATCTGAAAATGAGTGAGAAAATGAAAATGATTCAGACTGAAAGGAGTTAAGCATTGAAAGAGGAAAAGCTGGCACATGCAAGAAATGGATTCCTGTGTAGTCATTAGAAGTGATGATGTTAATCCATATTTACTGGCATGAAAAGACATCTACCCTACATGGTGAGTGAACAAAGCAGTTCATAAGGTACAAGTTCAAAATGAGCCTATTAATATGTAACCTAGATGAGTTTCCGTGAAATTACGTGTCTCTAGAATGTAAGTTCCATGCAGACAGGGCCCACATTTTCTTCACTGCTCTGCTCCTAGAGGCTATGTCTGTGCCTGGTACTTTGCAGCCGTGCAGTAATGTTTGTTGAATGAATGAATGAAAGAGGTTTACAAGGTTCTTTGTGCTTAGGGGGCTCAGTCGCTCAGTCCTGTCTGACTCTTTACAATCCAATGGACTATAGCCTGCCAGGCTCCTCTGTTCTTGAGATTTCCCAGGCAAGAATACTAGAGTGGGCTGCTATCTCCTAGTTCAGGGGATTTTCTCAGCTCAGGTATCGAACCCATGTCTCTTGTGTCTCCCACACTGGCAGGCAGATTTTACCACTGCACCACCTGGGAAGCTCCAGAAGTTTAACATGGAGGAGTGTTGGTGATTTTTTTCTGTGCTCTCAGCATTTTCTCTGTCATCTGAGTTGCCTTCAAAATATTTATTTTTTACCAAAAACAGACAGGATATTAAAAACATATGGTAATGCCTTCTGCTGGTGAGAATGTGACAGTTCCAAATGGTTCAGTGGCTGGGTAAACGGTTTAACTCTCTGAAAACCATTTAATATTCAATATCCGAAAATCACAAAGCATGTCTTCTTTGTGCCTATCAATCCTGCATGGGAATTTATGCTAAGGGGGAAAAAATGTAAATACAAAATACCCTGTGCATTCTAAGGTGTTCACCTTGGTTTTTATAATAGGAAGACAACAACCTATACCTTTAGACAACCTAAAGGGATTTCTAATGGAAGGAAGAGTAAAAGTAAATTACGGAAATCCACTGGGTGGAATTTCATGTAACCTTTACCAGTACTGAAGACTGTAGCAGTATGAACAAAAAGAGGCTGAAAATACAGGCATGCAGCGATTTAAATTATGATGAAACAAAGCAGAGGTGCCGTGGTGTTAAGACTGGAATTTGGGAGCCATTTTCTGAGAAGCGTGGAAGGAACATGGCTTTCAGAGCTGCAGACAGAGGTTTTCATGCAGACGTAGATGGTGCATAACCTTGGTTGATCAGGTTCCCTAACTTATTGGTGCTTTGTTTTTCTAATCTACAAGATGGGGTAATAGTACTGCTTCCTAGTGTCAAGAGAATTAAAGTGAGCTCCACATAAAAGTGAAAGTCTTCACAGATATAGAGAACAAACTAGTAGTTACCAGTAGGGGGAGAGAACTGAAGGGCATTTCAGGAGAGGGGAGTGAGAGGCACAAACCATTAGGTATAAAATAAGCTACAAGGATCTGTTGTACAACACGGGGAATACAACCTGGTTTTTTTGTTTTTTTAATAATAACTATAAATGGAGTTGTTTAATTGCTAAGTCACGTTTGACTCCTTTGCCAACCTAGGGACTGTAGCCGCCAGGCTCCTCTCTGTCCGTGGGATTTCCCAGGCAAGAATACTGGAGTGGTTGCCATCTCCTCCTTCAGGAGAGCTTTCAACCCAGGGATCAAACCCACGTCTCCTGCATTGCAGGTGGATTCCTTATCACTGAGCCACCTGGGAAGCCGATTATAAATAGAGTATAGCCTTTAAAACTTATGTAATATTGTGCAGCAACTATACTTCCATATTTTTTAAGAAGGTAAAAGGGAAAGAGTAAGGCCTAGACAACTGTAGTGGTTGTTTTTTGTTGTGGATGTTACTGTTGTTGTTATTATACTTTCAAAATCCTCAAGATTTCCAGCCTCTATTAATTACAAACGGATTGGAAAATGAAATAGCTAAAAACTGGAGGGAGAAAGAGGTTTGGAAAATCCGACTTTGGAGGTGGGTACCACCCTCGCTGGGACTCTCCTATCCGGGAGTGGGGGAAAACCGCGGGGCGGGTGAGCATATCCGGGGGTGTCCAGCAGGGGGCGCTGCGGGCGGAGGCGGAGCTGGGACCGGAAGCCGGGCTGGAGGCGTCCGGGCGCAGTCGGGGTCTCCTCCTACTTCCGCCGCCGGTCCCCGCTGTGAGTTGCCGTCTGTTCGGAACCGCTGCTGTCGCCTCCGCGATGCCGCTGGAGAACCTGGAAGAGGAGGGTCTGCCCAAGAACCCGGACCTGCGCATCGCGCAGCTGCGCTTCCTAGGCTGGAGGCGTCCGGGCGCAGTCGGGGTCTCCTCCTACTTCCGCCGCCGGTCCCCGCTGTGAGTTGCCGTCTGTTCGGAACCGCTGCTGTCGCCGCCGCGATGCCGCTGGAGAACCTGGAAGAGGAGGGTCTGCCCAAGAACCCGGACCTGCGCATCGCGCAGCTGCGCTTCCTGCTCAGCCTGCCCGAGCACCGCGGGGACGCAGCGGTCCGCGACGAGCTGATGGCAGCCGTCCGCGATAACAGTGAGGCCCGCGGGAGCGCCGAGTCAGCGGCCTAGGCCCGGGCGGCCCCGCGCTCCCGAGCCTGAGCGGTTTGCCCCGACGGGGACCCCGAAATCAGACCGGCTTATCCGCACCTCGGGGCTTTCCTTTTCTCAGCGCCTCCGGGTTTTCATAGTGGCGTGCGGCCTTGGGACCAGGTTGGGGGGATCCCGAGGTGTTGAGCCCCGAGCCAGAGACAGGGCTTATTCTCATTGGCGACTGGTCTCGGGGACGTTAGCATTGCCGGTGGAGGGGAAACTTGTCAGCGGTTCCTTTTGCCCTTCCCGTAGTGATGGCAGCGGGCTCTATACCCTTAAGTGCACGGGTCTGAGGTGTGTGTGTCTGTAAACAAGCTCGCCCTTTCTCTTAACTGAGTACAGCAGCCCCCGACAGGCAGACCGAGGGTTGCCCTATCCCCGGCCCTAGGAGAGGGCGGCGGTGACAGGCCTGGCCCTGATGCTGGCCTCCCAGGGGCGAGCACCTCGTGGTGCCCAGCCGTTTCCTGCTAGTGGGCAGGGGTCTGGGGGACGACCTCACAGCTTGTGTGGAAGGAAGAAGATGGGGGTAGGCACTGTAGGGCAGGAGAGGGGAGGCCCACGCCTTAGTCACACCCCTCTCGCTCTCTTTCAGACATGGCTCCTTATTACGAAGCCTTGTGCAAGTCCCTGGAGTGGCAGATGGACGTGGACCTGCTCAACAAAATGAAGAAGGCAAACGAAGACGAGTTGAAACGTTTGGATGAGGAGCTGGAGGATGCAGAGAAGAATCTGGGGGAGAGCGAAATCCGAGACGCGATGATGGCAAAAGCCGAGTACCTCTGCCGGATAGGCGACAAGGTGGGTGTGGTGGTGTCTCCTGTCTGTACTGTAGCCTGAAACGGGCACTGTTCAGGGTCTCATTTTAAACATTAACTACCCTCTTCCAAAAACTGCACAGGTAATCTGCTTACCTGAACCAGTGAGTCAGTGCAGAAATGAAGGAAGAAAAAGTTAATAGTTTTCTTGCTACGCTGTTTCTCTCACCTGCCCCCCAAATCGCAGCCAGGTGGGTGTTTTTCCCCGTCTCTCCCGTGGTTCAGAGAAGTGCGTGTGCAGACACGCTTGTCTGCCATCTCACCAAACTTGGATGTTGACCGTAGTTTACTTTTGTAACCTGTCTTGGTTGGGAAGCACTGGTTCTGGTGCGTTTTAAAAATTACTGTTTGCACAAGTAATCCTCTCCTTGTAAGAAACTAAAATCTTAGAGTTAATGCTGAAGTTTCATTTGATCTTTCTTTTTTCCTGCCTCCTGGGAGATCATCTTTTTAATTTTCTCATTGTACGATTGTAGTCACGTGTATGCACTTGTAGAAATTAGGCAGTATTGGTTTAAAAAGGTGGTTTTAAATTACCGGAATCGAAGTGTACTCATGCTGTCCTATTTATTTTTTCTTTGAAAATTACGTCTGAGTGACCGTCCATGTTAGTGTGCTGACATCTTGCTCATTCCGGTTCACTGCTAGTCCATTGTGGTAGGGTGATGCTGTGCTTTATTTAACTATTCAGTGGTTGGACCTGCCTGTTGCTTTCAGCTGTTTTTGCTAAGATACGCTGCTGCTGTAAAAACTATGCTTGTGTGTGCCTCTGTGTATATATGCTTATGTCTCTCCAGCATGTATGCTGAGATGAAATCTTGGGGACAGAGAACAATTTTTGTGTTAGTATCTGAGTGTCCTTCAGCCGAATAGCCAACCTAACTTAGACTATCAGGGCACAGGAGGGGCACCTGCAAGCATCGGGTCGTTTAAGTTTTAACATAGTTGTTGTATAACAGTGGTTAAGAGGATGGGCTTTGGATGTCCTTTATGTTAAGCAGTGTACCCTGAAGTAATGGGTAACGTGACATTAACTTTAAAAAACTGAATACTGTGGACTCTTGGGTCAGATTGCCTGAGTTCTGTTTCTGGCTTCAGTAATCATGATTTACTTAACTGGATGAGTTTCCTTAGCTGTTGAATCGGAATAATGTTAGTTCCCAGGCACAGGAGTTAGACTAGTACCTTGGCAAAGTGCTGAAATGTTAAATGATCTGAACTATTATTATTTAATTTAAATTTAAAACAAGTTTTGTTTGTTTTTCTCCTACTGAGTATGGATTTAAGATCTGGTTATTGTAAAAGTTGAAAAATACAGAACAGTTTAAAATATGGCTAATAGTTTGTGGCTTTTGTAGGTGGTGTGTGTGGTTTATTTTGGTTTGGTTTTAAACAGGATGCAGTATTATGAATGAATGAGAAATGTAAAGCTACTGATTAAGGCCTTGAGGAATTTCAACAAGGATATGCATGAATCCACATTTTGTACATTGGTGATGTTCTAATAATATATTCCATGTTTATGAAATAGCATTCTTCTAAAATGAAGAGTTTTCTTTCTTCCTCCAGTTTATCGTTTGTCTCATCTCTATTTACTGTTGGCTGTGCTGCATCTTCCCTGCTGCCTGCGGGCTTTCTCTAGTTGCAGCGGGCAGGGGCTGCTGCCGCTTGTGGCGACTTCTCTTGAGGAGCGTGGGCTCTCGGGCTCCCCGCCGCGGCAGCTGTGTCTCACTGGCCTGGCTGCGCTGCGGCACACGTGGGTCCTCCCCGACCAGGGGTCGAACCCGTGTCTCCAGCATGGCGGGTGGATTCTTACCCAGTGCGCCACCAGGGAAGCCCACTTTCTTGTTTTTAATATTTTATTTCCTAAATAACCGACGTGGTGGATTTTTACTCCTCACTGTACTGTATTGATTACAGTCATTATTATTTTTGGTGCTCAGTTTGTTATAGATTTGTTAGTGTAAGTTCCTTTAAGACGGTTTCTTTGTCCTTTTGACATGATCTCATTGGTCTTCCCTATTTTCTCATACAACAGGATGTCACAGGCTCACCTTGTTTTCTTCTTTTTTGTTGTTTTTGTTTGTTTGTTTGTTTTTCTGGTCACATCACACAGCATGTGGATTTTAGTTCCTCAGCTGGGGGTCGAACCCATACCTGCAGCAGTGGAAGTGCAGAGTCTTAATCCTAACTGGACCACCAGGGAAGGCTCACATATTCATATTTTTAAAGCAATGAAAACATTTTATTCCACAATGATTTGAGAAAGAATTGTATATTTAAATAATCAGTTGCATTCTAAGAGTGATTAAGGTAAAATTTTTTAATACTCTTTAGTTGTTAGGATTGATAATTTACAGTAAAGTTCTTTTAAAGTAGCATATTGTAATTGTGAGAGGAAAAATATTGAACCTATAGAACAAAGAAGAAAACTGAAACAATGGTGAATAAGTTATGAATGTGTTTTTTTCCCCTCGAATATAAGTATATGCTTAGACACATTTGATGTATTTTTTTTTTTTTGGATGTATTTCTTACACTTTATACAAGTGGAGAGTATAGTTACCANAAAGTATATCAAGGTCTTTATTGTGTAGCTATTCGTGATTTCAAACAGGCAGCTGAACTCTTCCTTGATACAGTTTCGACATTTACGTCCTATGAACTCATGGATTATAAAACCTTTGTGACTTACACTGTCTATGTCAGCATGATTGCCTTAGAAAGACCGGATCTCAGGGAAAAGGTAAAGACTGAGTCTTTCATACTCATATTTAAAGAATACGCCACACTTTTCCAAAGTAAATAAACCATAATCATTAAAATATACATTTTTTTAAAAAAACTTCCCAGGTAATTAAAGGAGCAGAGATTCTTGAAGTGTTGCACAGTCTTCCAGCTGTTCGCCAGTATCTGTTTTCACTCTACGAATGCCGTTACTCTGTTTTCTTCCAGTCATTAGGTAAGGAGAGAGTTGCTTGTTGGGGCTGTCTTCATCTTGTTCCTGACTCTGTAGATAACCGTAGGTGATTTTTCACATATATGAAAAATACAGTGTGCAGAGATACCTGTTGTTCTTTGGTCAGCGTGGTTAATCTTTTGCCCATTCTTGTTTAGACTTTGATCAAATATCTTTCTGTGTGGTCCACAAGGTAAGATTGTTGTTTACATTTTTTATTAAGGATTGTTTAACAGAACAAAGAAAATACATGCTAGTCCCGCGGCCCTCACCAGCTAGAAAGATCAGCTGTCTGGTTGTCTGCTGAGGAGGTATGCCCGGCCCCTGGTTTAGAGAGTCGTAGGGGATGTAACGGAGAAGGCAATGGCACCCCACTCCAGTCCTCTTGCCTGGACAGTCCCACGGACGGAGGAGCCTGGTGGGCTGCAGTCCATGGGGTCACTAAGAGTCGGACACGACTGAGCGACTTCACTTTCACTTTTCACTTTCATGCGCTGGAGAAGGCAATGGCAACCCACTCCAGTGTTCTTGCCTAGAGAATCCCAGGGACGGGGGAGCCTGGTGGGCTGCTGTCTATGGGGTTGCACAGAGTCGGACACAACTGAAGTGACTTAGCAGCAGTGGGGGATGTAAAGCAGGAGTGAGCAAATGGCTCTAAGCATTGAGTGTTTTGGGGACTGGTGTGTGGGAATTTGACTCTCCTTTCAATTGAGTTAGCTGTGCATTAGCTGAGTCTTTGTGCTGATTTGCAAATCATTTTCAAGGGATGTTGGCTGAGAAAAATCTGTTGAATGCGCTTGTGGTGTTCAACCCAGGGTTCCTTCCCAGATTTTCCTAAAACTTAAAACAACTTGGCATTGATAATTCTCTTGTCTGCTGCAAGTTTCAGAAAGTATTTGGTTCATATAAATAGGCAGCATTTACAAAACTTGGGAAAGGAGGACTCCAGATGACGATCTTTTATTTTCTGAGTGAGTGTTGGCCCAGTGTTTCTGGCGTGCTTTCTCCATGCCTAGAAAGTTCGGCTGCCTGGTGGGAATTCATATGTCTGTGCTCAGTCATATCTGACTCTCTGCAACTCCATGGACTGTATAGCCTGCCAGGCTCTTTCTGTCCATGGGATTTTTCAGGCAACAATTCTGGAGTAGGTTGCAATTTCATGCTCCACAGGATCTAACCCAGGGAATGAACCTGTGTCTCCTGCACTGGCGGTGGATTCTCCTGGGAAGCCACTGAGCCACCGGCAAGCCCCACGGGGACTCATACTCTCTTACATGCGGCGTGGGAACAGGGCTCCTCAGGTGTGGAGGGGTCCTGTCTTCTCGTGTTTGCCCACACAGCTGAAGTGTGGAATTGCCCTTCTCCCATTTTTATGGCTGTGGATCCCATGGTCCATATTCTGCTCAGATGTGGAACTTTCCCCTTATTCCTTCAGCCAAAGAGGTTTTTAAGAAACCCTTTCTCTGCATTTCTGGAGCTCTTATTTTATGCCCCACCTATTGACAGGGTGTGCAACCACACCACTGGTTGCAGAACATCTTCATCACCCGAAAGATGATCTGTGCCCATTANCTTTCTCTGCATTTCTGGAGCTCTTATTTTATGCCCCACCTATTGACAGGGTGTGCAACCACACCACTGGTTGCAGAACATCTTCATCACCCGAAAGATGATCTGTGCCCATTAGCAGACACCTCCCATTCCTGTTCACAGCCCCTTGTCTGTCTGTCTCCGTGGATTTGCTTATTTTGGACCTGGCACATAAACGGATTTACACAATGTGTAGCCTTTTGTGCTCAGCTCCTTTTGCCCAGCATAATGCTTTTACTGACATCTGCGCTGTAGCATATCAGAGCTGCATTCAGGTTACAGCTGAGTCACACACCATTGCATGGGGACAGTATTTGATTTATCCATTTATCAGGTGATGGACATTGTTATAAACAGTGTTGTAATGAATGTTTATATACAAGTTTTTGTATGGACACAATGTATGCTTTCTCCTGGGTGTATACCTAGTAATGGAACGGCTGGGTCATATGGTAACTATTAGATAAACTGAGAAACTGCCAAACTGTTCTCTGGAGCAGTTACACCATCTTACATTACCACCAGCAGCGTGTGTGAGTCCCAGTCCCGTCCCCCCCGCCTCCACCATAATACTTGTTAATTGCGTGTTTTTTTGATTATAGGCATCTTAGTGGGTGCAGTGATGGTTTTGAATGTCTTTTCATGTGCTTATTGGACATATGCCTTGTTTTGAAAACAAATTATTCTGTGATGCTTTATTACAGTTTTTCTCTACTGCTACCCAGACCTATTAGGAGCAGATCTTACTTTTTCTTTTCCTTTGTAATGATCTTGACACGAGCACAGTGCCTATATGTCATTGAGTGCTTCATGGAAGTGTCTAATTTAAGAGACAAATGGGATATGTACCAAATTTACTCATTTCCCAGATATTTAAAAATTAAAAAAAAAAACTTTATTGGAGTGTAGTTGATTTACAGTTGTGTTAGTTTCAGGGCTCTAGCAGAGTGATTCAGTTACACACACACACACACTGATTCTTTTTTATTCTTTTCTCATATGGGTTATCACAGAACATTGAGTGGAGCTCCCTCTGCTCTACGGGAGGACCTTGTTGGCTGTTCACTGTCTGACAGTAGTGTGTGTGCTTCCCAAGCTCCTGATTTATCCAGCTCCCCTTTCCTTTGGTAACCAGAGTGTCTAAGCCAAGTCTCCTGAGTCTGTTTCTGTCTTGTAAACGAGTTCATCTTTATCGATCTGTAGGTTAGACCAGTAAGTGATCTCATAGGCTTTTTGTCGTTCTTTGTCTGACTTCCTTTGCTTGCTGTGACCATAACCAGGTCTCTGCATGCTGCTGGAAATGACATTAACTCATCCCTTTCTACGGCTGAGTCATACTCCATTGTACATGTATGAAACACTGGCTTGATCCATCCACCTTCCCTGGAACTTTGGGTGCTTCCTGTTAGGCTGATGTAAATGGTGCCGCAGTGAACGCTGGGTACGTGTGTCTTTCTGAAGTTCGGCTTTTCTCCACCTCAAGCCCCAGGAGTGAGAACAGGTCACGAGGCAGCCCTGTGTTTAGTTTCTTTAAGGAACCTCCACTGTGTGCCCTCTGGTCACTGTTAGCAATTTACATTGTCCCCCAGAAGCATAGGCAGGTTCCCTATTCTCCATGCACTCAACCACATTTACTGTTTGTAGTTTTTATTTTTTATTTTTTTTAAAGCTTTTTACTTCATTTTGGAGTCGAGCTGATGACTGAGACGTGATGGTTTCAGGCTCACAGCAGCTCTGCCATCGGAACACATGTATGCTTTTGCCCCCAACTGCTGTTCATAGTCTTTCTGATGATGACCAATCAGACTAGTGCTAATTATTTCTTGAATAATTAGCAATGTGGAGCATATTTTCTTGTGCTCTCAGAAAAGGGCGGGGGGGAAAGGCAGCGTACCTTACGCTGACCCCTTAAGATTGACTTGTTGAAGGTCCAGCATGCTTTGAATTGTTTTCTGATTAGCTGCCCTGGGACGTTGCTTACAGCGCAGGTGTCCGTTACAGCCCCGCAGGCCTTGAGTTTGAACAGCTGCACAGGCGGCCCAGCTATAAGGAATCCGCCTGCAGTGCGGGAGACCTGGGTTCGATCCCTGGGTTGGGAAGATCCCCTGGAGAAGGGAACATCTACCTGCTCCAGTATTCTGGCCTGGAGAATTCCATGGACTGTATAGTCCACGGGGTCGGAAAGAGCCAGACAAGTAAGCGGCCTTCCTCCTCGCTTGCTCTCAGGTTGTTGTGGGATGTCCACGCGGGGGCCGCGCTTCACGCTGCTCTTGGGATCCGTGGGCCATCAGCGCCCCAGAGAAAGTCGTGCTCCAGGGTCATAGGTTAGAGCGCAGCGCACCACGGTTCTGGTCTCATCACTTCTTCCCCTTATTCTGCGCCCCTCCCCACCCAGAGAAATCCCAAGCCTTCCCCAGCCTGCCCTGCTGAGGGTGCTATGGTACTTAGGTGGGGTAACTCAGGAAGGAGGCTGGTGGTGGGAACCCCACCCCCAGGAGACTTAGAGACCAGGTGCCTTTCAGAGCTCTTTCAACCCAGAGGGTCCACCGTTCTAGGGGGCACTAGGCTTGGTTGTGCTCTAGGAAGGCTCGCCTGGATCTGGAAATTGGGGTCCCATCCACAGGCGATCAGGCACTCAGGGTCCAGAGGGGGCTCACTGGCTGGTACATCCTCCCCAGCTCCCTCAGCCCCATCCCAGTCCTGCCTTGGGTCCCAAGGCTGCTCAGGCTTCAGGGATGTGACTGGAGCCCAGGTCCCCGGGCTTGAGGGGAATACTGTTGATATTTCTGTTGTTTTCTTTTTAAATTTTATCTTTATTGTATACTGGAGTAATTTACACAGTGGTGTTTGTTTTTGGTGTTAAGCAACCTGATTCAGTTACAGAGATACATTTATATTCCTCTTTAGATTCTTTTCCTACCTAGGTCATTTCAGAGTGTTGAGTAGAGTTCCCTGTGTTATTTTTAGGTCCTTGTGAATTACCTGTTTGACATATTGTTGTTCAGTTGCTAAATCATGTGCAACTCTTGGCCACCCCATGGACTGCACCACACCACGTTTCCCTGTCCATCACCATCTCCTGGAGTTTGCTCAAACTCATGTCCATTGAGTTGGTGATTCCATCCAACCATCTCCTCCTTGGCCACCCCATGGACTGCACCACGCCATGTTTCCCTGTCAGCTCTTCACATCAGGTGGCCAAAGTATTGGAGCTTCAACATTAGTCCTTCCAATGAATATTAAGAGTTGGTTTCCTTTAGTATTGACTGGTTTAGTCCCCTTGCTCTCCAAAGGACTCTCAAGAGTCTTTTCCAGCACCGCAGTTCTAAAGGATCAATTCCTTGGTGCTCAACCGCCTTTACGGTCCCAACTTTCACATCTGTACGTGACTACTGGAAAAAGCATACCTTTGA